CACATCCCATCTTCATAATTACATATTTGGAATCAGCACACTTAAAACATAAATATAACCAAAAATCAGCCAAATCCATCCAGGGGTTAAAAAGTTAGCTGGAGGTCCCTTTATGACCGACCGCAAGCACATTTTCCTGCCCAAAACAGTTCCATAGATTTGGGCTGTGAGGTCGGTCTATTTCAGGCTGAAAAAACGACTAAGTCCCATCGCCGAATGGGACTTAGTCTCTGCAGCTGAAATAAGGCTGTAAAAAACGGCTGGAAAAACGACTAAGTCCCATCGCCGAATGTAAAACCAGTAGGGGAGAAGGTAGAGCTCAGCGGTGTTCGCGGAAATGTGTAGCCGATTTTAGTTCCATGAATTTGGCTACACATACCGCTGACCTCGTCGAATGATCAAAGATGGCCGCCGCCACGTGTTCAGCAAACGAACAAAGACCTCCAGCATTGTCAATTAAGCTGCGGTTAACCGCAGCTTCTGGGAGGTAAATTGCCTGCACACTTCCACTTCTGGGTGGTCTGCCTGTGTGGTACTTGGTTCAGTAAGCCCCATTTACTGAACCAAGTGGGAAATAGCCAGGCAGGCACAAAGGGTTTGCACCAGGTCTGGGGACACAGGGCACAATGTCTTAAAGGGGCAGTGTCCCCAACAAGTCTGGGGACACGGCCTTAAAGGGGCAGTGTCCCAATCTTCCTGATGTCCCAAAAAAGGTGTTTAAAGGGCCAGCACCAGTCACATAAAGAGTCCATAAGCCCCAATATGCCCACCGACAGTCTTAAAGGGCCATACACACCAAATAAAAGTGCATACATTTTCACAATCTCCCAGGGGCCATAGTCATGCGGGAGGAGGCTGGCAAATAGGCTTCTCCACAACCCAGGGAAGCAGGGCAATTTGCCATTTAAAGGGCCAGTTACAAATAGCAGTTTGTAACAAGGTGTCAATCCATATCTGCCAAGTGACCCGATGTAGGGGGAACAGTCCCTATTCTGCTCTGTGTCAGTGTGTATCAGGTCTCTTGAGGACAGGTGTCAATCCATATCTGCCAAGTGACCCCATGTAGGGGGAACAGTCTCTATTCTGCTCTGTGTCAGTGTGTATCATGGTCTCTGAGGACAGGTGTCAATCCATATCTGCCAAGTGACCCTATGTAGGGGGAACAGTCCCTATTCTGCTCTGTGTCAGTGTGTATCAGGGAACCTTAGGACAGATGTCAATCCATATCTGCCAAGTGACCCGATGTAGGGGAACAGTCCCTATTCTGCTCTGTGTCAGTGTGTATCAGGGATCCTTAGGACAGGTGTCAATCCATATCTGCCAAGTGACCCTATGTAGGGGGACCAGTCTCTATTCTGCTCTGTGTCCGTGTGCATCAGGGGCTCTGAGGACAGGTGTCAATCCATATGTCAAGGTGTCAATATGTCATATGTCAATTTCGTGTTCGCGACATCACTAGCCAAATAGTGATGGCTAGATTGCTGGGTCAGAGCATCTCCAAAACAACAAGTCTTGTGGGGTGTTTTGTCTAGTACCTAACGAAAGTGGTGCAAAGAAGGACAACAGGGGAACTGGCATCATGGGTGTCTAAGGCTCATTGATGCATATGAAGAGTGATGGATAGCCTGTCTGGTCCGATCACACAGAAGAGCTACTATAGCTCAAGTTGCTGAAACACTTAATGCTATGATAGAAAGGTGTCAGAACACACAGTGCATCACAGTTTTCTGTATATATGGCTACCTAGATGAAAATCATTTAGCGTTTCCATGATGACCTCTGTCCATCTCTAAAAGCTGTTTAATGGGGACTTGAGCATCAGAACTGGACCATGGAGCAATGGAAGAAAGTTGACTGGTCTGATGAATCACATTTTCTTTTAAATCAGGTGGATGGTCAGGTGCATGTGTCTCATTTACCTGGGGAATAGATGGCAGCAGGATGCACTATGAGCAGAAGGCAGGCCGGCAGAGTCAGTGTTATGCTCTGGCCTGTGTTCTGCTGAGAAATCATGGGTCCTGGCATTCATGTGGATGTTTGTTTGGACTTTAACATGTACCACCTATCTGGAGATTGTGGCAAACCATGTACACTATTCATGGCAATGGTGTTCCCTGATGACAGTGGCCTCATTCAGTAGGGTAATGCACTTTTCCACACTGCAAAAATTGTTCAGGAATGGTTTGAGGAATATGACAAAGAGTTCAAGGTGTTGCCTTGGCATCCAAGTTCCCCAGATCTCAATCCGATTGAGCATCCAATTGAGCATCTGTGAGATGTGCTGGAACAACAAATCTGATCCATGGAGGCCCCATCTCACAACTTGCAGTACTTAAAGGATCTGCTGCTAAGATATTGGTGCCAGAACAAGATATGTTCAGAGGTATTTTGGAGTCCATGTCTTGTTGCATCAAAGCTGTTTTGGCAACACAAGGTGGACCTTCATGATGTTAGGCACATAGTTTTAATTTTGTGGGTGATCAGTGTATAAGCTAGCATATTTTTCAATGTTTTATATGGCCAATGATGAACATTTTCACTTTAGAGTGAGATAGATAGCTAGTGAAATAGATCCAAATTAAACAAAATAGACAGAAAAATCTCTCTCTCCTGGAATCAAGTGTTTTCTAGTTACATCCCTGCATTGAAGGGTAGATTTAAAAATATTAGGGACATGTCAGACTAGCATTATGTTCATTTCTGCTTTGTAGATCTAAGTAACCACTAAGTAGTGATTGGTACCAGTGGGAACTGATGAGAGTGTAATGCAGACTTTAGTGGACTTTGGAGACCTGTCAGTGGGTTTTAGCCTCAATGATTTCCTTGCTATTGTTAATAACGACAATGCTTTGCTACTGCTATTTAAAGACATACATGGAAACAAGCCCATATTGTAATGAACTGAACATGCTATTAGAATGCGTGTTCAAGTGCATAAACAATCATCGTGCAATAGTGAATTACTTAAATAATAAAATAATTTCAAAAACAAACAATATAAACATTTTGTTTGGTATATTTTCATTGCCAATAGAATAAAATCCGTATCAGCGCTTAATTAATATTCCCTTATCATTCAAATATAGGGAACAACTTGAATTGCAATAATATTATAATAGAAGAGTTCCAATGCCAGTCTTTGTCTGTATCCAACTTATTGGATGTACACTTTGAAAACATTGGCCCCATTTGGGCTAAATGCTGAATTTGAGATTGCTAACATTTTATAATCGTTTTAAGTTTTGTAGGTTTTTAGCATGATTTAGTATTTTTTTGAATATATGTGGACCTTTAAATTCCAAGTGACTTATTTCTTCACTAATTGAAAAATAAGTTGTGGCTGTACCTCTAAATAAAGACGATAACTTGATTGCTAAGTGGGTTTCAAATATACTATAACTTTAAAGGGATATTAAAGAATGAGTACCGAGGTTGATCTAATACAATTTGCCGTTCTTTTTCTTGATATTACTTTAATCTAAGAATGACTCATCTACAATACTTATATACGTTATTTTACATTTTTTTTAAATATATAGAAATTTTTACTATTTAAGGATACAGCATTATGTATATGTTAAGGTCTTGTTTAATAACATTTTAGTTTATTTGCTTGTTTGCTGAAATTCTATATGGGATAATTTGCTATAGATTTCATTCCATACTAAGATGATGATCTAAAAAAATGCAGAACGGAATGTTGAAATGTGAAATGAAGTATAGAAACAATTTTTCTAATACTTGCAGCACTTACAAATTTAAGGATTGAGTAAATGTACTATGGTTTTAAACTGTTTGTGAAATATGCTAAAATTAAAAATGAGGAAATTGTGGATAGAATATTATATTAAGTGAAATGATGCAAAAGACATTTTCCTGAAGCTTAGTAAGGTAACCATAGAGACCGGAGAAAAGAGTTCCGTAAGGAATGAAGATTTTTAAAATTTATAGGTCTCACTATCTTTATGTGGCCATCGATCTATAAGCCAATAAGAACTAAAAATTGAGGTTCCATAACATAGATTTATAAATCGTGTCCTATTTGCATAGCTATTTTTCAACAGTCAGAACTGAAAAATAACAAATGTATTGTATGTATGTAAACTTCAACACAAGTAGGTAATTCAATGTATATAAATAATTACAAGTATGAAAATGTGACACACCGGAAAATTATAATTAAATGGTGTATAAATGTAGTCCAAATCTCCCAAACACTCTATCTTGAAAAAGCCCGATCTAATGGGCGAAACTCGTAGATCGTGTTTTGGCGGGATTTGTTTGAATTTTAAATTGCAAAGGAGAGTATAGCAATATCTGACAGCCGGCGTTCCAGCGAGAGGATCGGTCTGAGTGCACGAGATCGCTCTACTAATCTACGCCAATGGAGCGGTAACCATAACCATCTCGGCTTATACACTGTACCATATTTGCTTTTATAGTGATACTAAGAAAAAAGTTTCACCACATCATTTTGTAAGAGTTCTTCTTATGGGGGGAATATTTATGTATAGGGAATAAAACTGTAACGGAATTACGCTATGTCAGTATCTTTTCTATTTTAAGGTTAGATACTAAATTGCATTGAAAGATTTAGATTACAGAATATACAGATCATTGTGCAACAGTCACAAACTCCTGATACTATTTGGACCCTCACAAAGACTGACATTGGAACTCTTCTATCATAATAATATTGCATTTCATGTTGTTCCCTATATTTGAATAATTAGGGAATAATAACTAAGCGCTGATACAGATTTTATTCTATTTTTTATTGACATCTTTTAAACTTGGGAAGGTTTTTATTATATCTGGCAGCTTTTAACTTTTTTTGTAGAAAGGTGCATTAGAGCATTGGTTCAGTTATTTACTGTTTTATTTATGTGATTTTGCGCTCTCTTAACTTTTTCATATTAATATTTTCATTGCTGCTGTGGAGCCCTCTAAATATGCTGATTCTTTAACCTCAATTAAGTTTCTCTTTGAGGAAGTAGCATGGCATATATATTAATGTTCTTGTTCCAAGCTGTGACATTCTGTGTACAGTTACTTGCAGATACATCTATATCAGCAAAGGTAAGCTCCCAATTATTATGTTGTGAATAGTTATTTAATACTTATGATTAACTCTTATATTTATTAAAAAACAAAACAAAAAAACAAACAAAACAAAAAACAATATAATGATATGTGGATGTCCTTAAATCTGATGCAAAATGAGAGGGTATGCAAAATAAGAGGAGAGGAGACAGAATATAGTGCATTATGTTACTCTAATCAGTGAGGTAGGTAAAACAAATACACTTACAATTTATAGGAGCTTATGATCAGCTCCAAATGTGTACACTTGGGCAGTACAATCCCTGCCTATGGATATACCTGCAGTCTTGGTCTGGTGGATATGGTCCTAATTGGAGCGCTTATGAGTCTCCACATAAAGACATACAACAAAATATAGTGCTCTTTGATAAAATGTGACTTAAAAAAAAAAAAGGAGGTACTCACCAGAGGAGAGCAATAATGGATTTTGCTCAATTCTTGTGGCTTAGGTGGTATATTCCCCACCAAGGAATTAGAAGTAAGAGTCCTCTTGGTAAAATATTCTTCTAAAAGTCATAACATACTACACTATATTCTGTTTCCTGACCTATTATTTTGCATACCCATTCATTTTGGCTTGGATTTGAAAAAGTGTTAATTTTGGCAGCAAATTTCAATTTAGTTTTAGTCATAGTCTGTGACTAAAAATTTTTTTAGTTTTAGTCATATTTTAGTCATCTGAATTGTTTTAGTTTTAGTCGACTAAATCTCAAATCGAATTTAGTCGACATGAATTAAATCTAATGGGTTTAGTTAAAGCTTTTACTTGTCTCTATTTCCCCTTCCCCAGCCCCTCTGTGTCTCTTTGTGTCCTTCCAGCCCCTCTAGGTGTCTTTCTCCCAAGCCCTGGTCTGTCTCTTTTGCCCCTTCCACAGCCCCTCTATTCAGTGTTAATTTTGGTGTCAAATTTTAATTTAGTTTTAGTCATAGTCTTTTGACTAAAAAGTAATTTTAGTTTTAGTCATATTTTAGTAATCTGAATAATTTTAGTCTAGTTTTAGTCAACTAAATCTCAGAAATTTTAGTTGACTAAAATTTGACAAAAATTATTAGTCGACAAAATTAATACTGATTTGGAGGGATGTGCATCTGTAAAAAATTTGGTTTGGTTCAGGACTTCCGAAATTCGGGACTTCGGCAATTCCCTAAACTTACCCCTAACCCTACCCCTAACCTAACCCCAACCCTACCCTTAACCCCAACCCTACCCCTAACCTCAACCCTACTAGGGTTAGGGGTAGGGTTAGGATTAGGCTTAGGTTAGGGGTAGGGCTAGGGTTAGATTCCTGTCATCATTCCCTTAATTTTCCCTCCCTCTCCTGTTTTGACACTTTTCAGAAATCCAAAGCACTTCTGCACTTCCGAAATTCAGCACTTCGGAATTCGGTTCGGCATTTCTGAAATTCGGCACTTTGGCAATTTGGCAATTCGGCAATTGCCAAAATTTGGCCGAAATTTAAATTCAGACCGAAACGAATTGCACATGTTTACTGATTTGAGGACATCCATAAGGCGCTGCTTCCCTCCCACCATCTTGTACTGTTTCCATCCAAAGAAAGACTATAAAAGACTCTGGTTTGGGTTGTTTCAGCTGTCCACTAGGGATGTGCATGAGCAAAAAATTTGGTTCAGCACTTCCGAAATTCTGCACTTCAGCAATTTGGGACTTCGGCAATTCGGCACTTCGGTTCAGCACTTATGAAATTTGGGACTTCGACAATTCGGAACTTTGGAAATTCTCTTGCCACCACAACCACTTACACATCTGTAGGGCTCCCTAACCCTAACCCTACCCCAAACTCTACCCCTATTCCCTAACCCTAACCACCACAACCACTTACACATCTAATGTTAGGGTAAGGGTAGGGTTAAGATTATGGTTAGGGTTAGGGGTAGGTTTAGGTGCACAGACTGCCACCCCAACCACTTGCGCATCTGTAGGGCTCCCAGAGCCAGAAATGAACTTATTGGTCTAGATTCATGTCATAATTCACGTAATTTTCCCTCCCTCTCTTGTTTGGCCACTTTTCAGAAATCTGAAGCAGAAATTCTGTAATTTGTCACTTCGGCAATTTGGTTTGGTTCGGCACTTCCAAAATTTGTCGCTTTGGAAATTCTGACACTCTGAAGCATCGAATTGCCGAAATTCGTCAGAATTTTACAATCGGAATGAAACGAATTGCACACATCTACTGCTAGACATCCTTATTGCTAAATTATGAATATAATGCCATCTTTACATTTTCAAAAAAAGATTTGTATTTAAATAACTGAGTTAGATTTGCTGATGGAAAATTAATTTTTTACATGAATATTTAGTTTTTGTTAAAATCTTTACACCTACAGGTCTTCTTCATCTACTGTTTAAAAAAAGTGAAACCATGAAGCTTTTTCAGATTCTCTGTGTCTTGATGTTGAATATACAATTTGCAGTAATCAGTACCCAGCTGTGCCAATATACAGACAAAAAAAGTGATGTTACATGTCATGGATGCCACGCATGTCATGGTAAGGATATGAAAGAGAACAAGGCAAAAAACCTATGCATATTATAGCTACGAGACATAGTTAATTGATTCTTTTGAATGTTTCCAAATCAGGTTTTTACTTTTATTTGGGATTATTTCACCTCAGTAAACAGATGCATTTTTTTCCCCAGGGTAAACACAGGCCAAATAGAAGTTCATTTTATAGTGTGTTATTAACGACAGTCTCAACAACAAATTGTATTTTCCCACTTTTTTATGTAATTACTGGTGTGTCTGTCCACCTGTTCAAGAAGCATGATCATGCAACATCTGCCCATACATATCATTTTTTACCCATGACCATAAGGCCACCATAGCCTCTGGGTAACAGGCATGGGAGGGGCAGCATGGCCAGTGGGGAGATCAAAGATCTCCCTCAGTGGCCAGTCCATTCTTTTGCTGTGGGTCCATGCTGACAGGCGAGACAGTGGCCAGTCCATTCTTCTGCTGTGGGTCCATGCTGACAGGGGAGATCTCTGGCAGGGCCAACGCTCAAGTACAAAGGTCCTATTCACTTATCCTCTCTGGACAGACCACTTTGATACTTACATTGTATCAGTGCATTCCTGGGGATGCAGAAAAGCAGCATCTTCTACTGAACGAGGCCTAATTTTTTTTAATGTTAATGTCTTCAAGCAGCTTTTCAGGCAATATTCCTCTGCTACAGGCCCCATCCCCCATTACAGACTTTATCCACCACTGTAGCCCCCATTCTTCTCAGCACAGCCCCTATACCCTTACTATATCCACTATCCCCCCCACCATAATTTCTAACTTCTCACTACAGCACCTAATCCCAGATTATAGCCACTATACTTCTATTATAGCCCCTGACCCCACTGTAGCCCTTTTCCCCTACTCACCACTGCCCATATCTCCTGCCCAGCACCTCTACCAACACCACACCCACTATCTCCCATTACAGCCACTATCTTGCCACTAAAGCCTACAGTCCCTACCCCCAAACACACTCTACAGCCCTTATCCTCAAAAACACACACTAAAGCCACTATTCTCCCAAACACAAACACTAAAACTCATATTTTTCCCAACCCACACAATACAACCACTATACCATTTACCACACATTACAGTCCCTACATACATGCACACCCACATAATACACCATAAACAGCCCAATCCACATATACAAACTTGCAAGCGGCCTTAACTACAAACAGAGCCCCACAAGCAGGATCCCCAAACTGGCCTTAGGTCTTGTACAAAACATTTTTACAGCTTCCCTCCCTGGTTACACTCACTCATCCATGTATCGTGTATGTATAAGGATATAGTGTTTGTATTGGGGTATTTAATCCAGATTTTAAAAATAAAGAGGTATAGGCACTCACTATATTACAATAAGTTGGTAGGGGCTGCGGTATACAATACAAGGATTCCCAAAACCTTGTGTGATTGGTAAAAAGAAAAAATATATGGTGTATACCGCACCTCAAAGATCATATATACATACACCTTCAGGAAAAACAATGTTGCAAACCTCAGGAAAAAATAGAGACAATAATAGTGCAATACAATATGGTACAGTACAAATAATGTAGGTAGTAGCTATAAGAAAACCACTCACATCTAATAGACATTTTAGAGCTCTACTATATTTCAAACTTTTTTGAAAAAGCCTTTTGGACAGGCAAAACGCGTCAAGTGGGACTCTTACCTTTTTAAAAATACTTTTATTGTTTAAATGTTCATTATAATAAATTTTTGGGATTGTTACCTGATACCATCCATATCCTGAGGTGGTGATTATACCACCCATGCTGTTCCAACTAGAGCAGGTCTTGCTCTATAAAATGTAAGTACATTTCATTCTATTTATTTGGTATACCAGTACTTACTACACCATTGGAGTTATTTCTGCTGTTTTACCCCCATATATATATCTGCATTTGCATCTGGAGGATCAACACTGCTCCAACCACCATATATCCTTAGACGGGGATTGTACCGTCCACGCGCAATACAGCAGAGCTCTAAAATAGCTCTATTAAATGTGAGTGCTTTTCTTATAGCTACTACCTACATTATTTGTACTGTACCATATTGTATTGCACTATTATTGTCTTTTTTCCCCCCTGAGGTTTGCAACATTGTATTTCCTGAAGGTTTATGTATGTATGATCTTTGAGGCGCAGTATACTCCATGTATTTTTTCTATTTAAAAAAATGCATGTAGGCCCATGTGTGAATGCTATTTAAAATATTTGCAGTGTCACATGCACACAGTCCCACAATCAGACATACTGTCAGATACACACAGTTATACCCAAATACTGTCAAATATAGCAACATGTACATAGTCCCAGGCGCATAGCCACTAGTTACAGTCTTTAAGTTGCATGCATACAGCAAAACAGTCACAAGCAGACAGTAAGAGGCAGTCACACACAAACACAGTAACAGGCAGACAGTCACATACACATAGTTCCAGACAGTCGCACGCACACAGTCACACACACACACACACACCACACACACACAGTTAGAGGCAGTGATACACACGCACACACACACAAACATACAGTTACAAGCAGACAGCCACAAACACACACTTACAGACAGACTGTCATATGCACACAGTTACAGGCAGTCACACACACACACACACACACACACACACACACTTACAGTCAGTCACACGCAGTTACAGACTAACACAGTTACAGGCAGACACAGTCTCACACACACTGTCTAAGACAGACTGTCATATGCACACAGTTACAGACAGTTACACACACACAGTTACAGGCATACAGTTACATACACAGTCAAAGACAGACAGTCATACACAGTTACAGATAGTCACACATACACACACACACACACACACACACACACACAGCTACAAGCAGACAGTCACACACAGTTACAGTCACATACAGTTGCAGACACACACAGTAATAAACAGACAGACATACACAGTTACAGACACACACACGCACACAGACGAGTAACCCCATTATGCTGTGGAAGGGAAATACTAGAAGCACTGCAGTCCCTGTTTAGCAGTTGTGGAAGCAGGAACTCCTTCCTGCTTCCCCCTCAGTATGCAGCATAACCGGCAGCAGGTAGAGGGCCGCACCTCTTCAATAACAGACCCTAAGTGTGCCCAGCACCCCTTTAAACAAAACAAACAAACAAATTATATATATATATATAGTTGAAAACTGAGCCTATAGGCAAAGCCTGAATTTGTGGTTGTGGGAGGGGTTACTAGGCCTATAAATACACAGGCTGCCTAGTTCAGTACAGAACCATCTACTTCCGGTTTAAAGGTCGTCAACGCAAACTACCTAAAATCCAAACAAGCTGGTGTTGGCCTCATGCAGCCTGCGCATGTTTTTATTTTACCTCACTCGAGTAAAGAAGAGTCACCTCCCTTGAAGCTCACGGTGCACTACTGCGTCCGGCCCAGCTGAGACTTTCCTGTTGCTGTTTGTTCTTTTATTCCAACAAAATTGTAAGCTTGTTCATTGACTCACTGACATTCAACATGTATTCACCCCAAATTTGGCCTTCCACGAACTAGGGTGGCATTCGCAGCTCAGCCCCTCATTCAGATATGGCGAACTTCACTATTAACACAAATTTGCCCTATTTTAATCATACATAGCATCACAGTGATACCTTGTGGTGGAACTTAGCACCAATTCTATGTTTTTTTTTCTCACTTTTCGCATGTTTTACCCTTTTTCTATATCCATTTGTCTCCCGAACAAAGACCAACCCTGCACCCCATTAGAACGTTTCCACCAGCAACTTAAGTGCGAAACCGCAAGGGAAGTAATTAATGAATATTTCCCTTGGGTTGCCATTTCATACAACTGAACGCACGTGGTCGACAAAAGAATGGTGGCCATCTTTTCTCCTGAACGAGGGCAGCGGTACTTGGTCGTCGAGTGCCAGGAACTCTTTTTGGCTAGGAACTCGCACAAACTCCGGTAAAACTTAGACTGCTGCCCGTTCTACTTCCTGACCAACTAGGAGAACGCTGTTCGGGAGATATGGATTACAGATTTTTCTCACGCAATTGTAACGGAGCTCTTAGTACTCCAACCGAGTACCTCCATTGATGGATGCTCATAGTGCTTCCCGAGGGCTCTAAGCACTTCTCCAGACACCATAAGCAGTGCAGACCAAACCTCTCTTCCTGCAGAGAGCGAAGCTGGAACAAGCTCTTAAAATAGCTTAGTGATTATAGCTAGGGGAGTATGTAGAGTATAGCAATCCCCCAGTGTAGATACAGCCATATCCCCCAATCATGAGACGAGGCTCTATGTTGAGGGTCAAAACAGGAACAGACAGAGCTGTGGTTTTTTTGTTTCTTATATACACATTTTTACACAATGTTACCACACACATGGTTTTGTAGAACAGTCAATCAAACACGTATAATACAGTTAAACACTCCCATTCATTCCCACAAAATCCTCCCCTCTGCCTGTGATATAATTACTGTACACCAGTGGCGTACACATGACCCATGGGGCCCCGGTGCGAAAATTGATCTGTGGGCCCCCCGCGCGGGCTGGGCCACAACACATGGCGGCGGGCACCTGGTTGCAGGGGTCACAGGGTTGGGACCCCTGCGACCGCGGTATGTACGCCAGTGCATGCAGATGCACACACTTAAAGGACCACTACAGACACCCAGATCACATCAGCTCAATTAAGTGGTCTGGGTGCCAGGTCCCTCTAGTTTTAACCCTGCAGCTGAAAACATAGCAGTTTCAGAGAAACTGCTATGTTTCACTGAGGGTTAATCCAGCCTCTAGTGGCTGTCTCACTGACAGCCGCTAGAGGAGCACACTGAACGTCCATAGGAAAGCATTGAGTAATGCTTTCCTATGGGCGGTTTGAATGCGTGCGCGGTCGCATTTGGAGCTGAGAGGCTGAGGGAACCCCAGCGCCAAGGGAGTCCGGCGCTGGAGAAAGGTAAGTGCTGAGTGTCACACACACTCTCACAAACAGACGCATACACACTAGCTAACAGACACACACATTTACTGACAGACACACTCAGCGACAGACATACATACACACTCACTTACAAAACATACACTCTCATTGACAAAACACACACTCACTAACAGACATCAAACAGACTCACTAACACACACACTCAGTGTGACGAGACCAATCTCGCCACATTGCATTGGAGAAGCCTGGTTGCTCGCCTGCTGCCTTTGGACTATGGCCCCCTGTTAAAAGACATCTTTTTTTCCTGCAGAAAAGCTTCATTCGTGCTTTTCTGCCTGGGGTTCGGTAGATTTGTTTGAATGTGTTATACCCCAGATAGGAATCCCATGGAGCCCATTCGTATGAAACTGACTGTAAAGACTTTGGCTCCATGGCGATTAAACTGTATTTGTGTGGTCTGAGCGCCATTCACTTAATAATATCTGGGGATATGTTAAATGTATAGTTTTAATGTAATGTGTCTTACCTGGTGTATTTTAACAGTAATGCTTGTTTTGTGTCCCCATGTGCATAATGGAGTCTTGTCTCTGACATGTCTGTGTTTTATGTATAAAATGGGACTTTGTGTATTGTACAGTATTTTAATGCTTTGTGCAAACCATGTGCATAATGGAGTCTTGTCTCTGTCCTGGGAGATAATTTAATTACTTCTCAATTATCTCCTGGGCAGAGGAGAGGAAGCCAGGATGCATTGTGGTAAAAAGGAAGGGGTAATTGGGTTACCTCTCAGGATAAGGGGGAGGGAATCTGTGGGTTGTAACTAATATGTTACTGGATATTTTATACCTCCCTGTTGGCGGTCCTGTATTTGCAAGACTGTAATAAAAACCAGGCTGGGTGTGCCAGCACCTCAGACCACTGCTTGACCCTCAACACGGAGCTCTGTCTCGTCTTTGGGGGGATTTACTGTATGCTGCTAAGGACTGATTGCCAGGAGTGTAAGCAGCTTGGGAGCTTTTCCTGTTCGTCTGTTAGCAGCTATTCGTGAGGTTCCAGTTCAGGAGTTTGGAGTGCTACCTTATTCCCTTGTATGCAGTTCGGGAGTTTGGTGCATTCACTTGTATTCAATTCATGAGTTTTGGGTGATTCTACAGTAGCTGTGCCTGTCTCTGAAAGGGGATTATCGTCTAAGCGTTTTTTTTCCCCTTTTGTGCAAAACGGTCCGTTACAATTGGTGGCAAGCGGCGGGATCGTTCCCACAGACTACAGGACAGCTACAGGCAACACCATTCCGTGGATTTACAATTTGAGGGAAACGCATGTCTGAGTACAGCGACCCTGACAGCAACAGAATGGAACCAGCAGTGTCATACGAGGAGGAGGACCTGGATGGCCGGGATGCATTAAGGAAAGGCATCTGGTACCAGGCCCTGGATAATGTACAATACCAGTGGGGCGAGAGTCTCCCCAGTGAAGAGCAGCGGTTGCAGAAGCAAGTGGCCCTGCGGATGCCCATCCTGGGAGAGCAGCCCCTGGATGAATGGGTGAAGGAATTGGAGCACCGGGTATGGCAGGAGATTTGGCTGGAAGATGCCTACCAGGCGCTCTGGTGGTATGGGGCACAGTACCTGCCCTGGACAGCCGAGCATGACAAGCCAGAGGGAGAGGAGTTTGATGGTCCTGGCTTGTTATGGGAGGCTTTTTCAGAGCCTGAATTTGGGAGCCCTATACAAGCCCGGTTCAGTGATCTCTTGGAGTGGAGGGAGAGCAGGTATGACTGGGACGACACTCACGACATTGAGCAAGACCTGGCTCACCTAGCAACCCTGGAGTGGGAACTGGAGAAGGACTACCGAGATCTCTTCCACTCCATTGAGAAGATTCAGCAGGACAGCAAGGTGACAGATCCAGTTCCAGACCCATTCAGCTGGGAAGACATTGTTGATATTTTCTGGGAAGAACCCCAGGTGGCCGGTAGAGATGGGACGAGGTCTCTCAACCGGTCCTGCAGGGAATTGGGAGCCCAGTCTCCATTCCCCAGCGGCAGTGATTATGCAGGGAATTGGGAGCCCAGTCTCCATTCCCCAGCGGCAGTGTAAAGTGCAGGGAGAGGAGAGCAGCGTCCTCCCTCCCCAGCGGCAGGCTGAGTTACAGGGGGCAGAGGTAGTTGTTCCTGCCCTCCAGCAGCAGAGTGATATGCCGGGAAGGCAGTGTGAAGTGCAGGGAGAGGAGAGCAGTGTCCTCCCTCCCCAGCGGCAGGCTGAGTTACAGGGGGCAGAGGTAGTTGTTCCTGCCCCCCAGCAGCCAAGTGATATGCCAGGAAGGCAGTGTGAAGTCCAGGGAGAGGAGAGCAGTGTCCTCCCTCCCCAGCGGCAGCGTGATTTTTTGGGAATTGGGAGCCCAGTCTCCATTCCCCAGCGGCAGTGTTATTGGTTGGGAATTGGGAGCCCAGTCTCCAGTCCCCAGCGGCAGAGTATCCAGCAGGGAATAGAGAGCCCAGTCTCCCCTTCCCAGCAGCAGGACACTGTATTGGGAGCGGAGACAGTCGGTCTCCCTCCACAGAGGATGAAAGTATGTATGGGAGAGGAGCTTGCTACCACCTCTCCCCAGCGGCGGATCATTAATGGGCAGGGAATAGAGAGCTCAGTCTCCTTTCCCCAGCGGCAGAGTGTTCTATCGGGAGAGGAGCCTGTTACCCCCTCTCCCCAGCGACAGCTTAGAGTATCCAAAGGGGAGACAGTCGGTCTCCCCCTCCAGCAGCAGAGCTGTGTAACCAAAGGGGAGACAGTCGGTCTCCAGCAGCAGAGCTGTGTAACCAAAGGGGAGACAGTCGGTCTCCAGCAGCAGGACTGTGTATCTAAAGGGGAGACAGTCGGTCTCCCCCTCCAACAACCAGGCTTCAACCAGGCTACCCTCCCAGTAGCGCTGGCAACAGGGCAGAGTGCCGCTGGTCTCTGCCCATGCAGCACCCCACCAAGTCAGCGTACCCGTACCCAGCACAGCCGTGGTGAGGCACCTGGACATGGACAAGCTTCTCCTCTACCCAGGTGCAGTAACCATTTATTGTGGGTGGGCTGTGCTGTTGATTCTGTTTTGTGGGTGGGCTGCTGGACTAACAAGGGCACTGACCGGCAGGAGGTCAGATACCCTGTTAGTCTGTTTGGAAAAGGGGAGAGATGTGACGAGACCAATCTCGCCACATTGCATTGGAGAAGCCTGGTTGCTCGCCTGCTGCCTTTGGACTATGGCCCCCTGTTAAAAGACATCTTTTTTACCTGCAGAAAAGCTTCATTCGTGCTTTTCTGCCTGGGGTTCGGTAGATTTGTTTGAATGTGTTATACCCCAGATAGGAATCCCATGGAGCCCATTCGTATGAAACTGACTGTAAAGACTTTGGCTCCATGGCGATTAAACTGTATTCGTGTGGTCTGAGCGCCATTCACTTAAGATGAAGAGGAAGCACTGAGTGCTCCCTCGCGTGCCCGCTTGCCGGGGGTCAGCAGGGCCAGCCTCGGGGGGCCCTGGGGTGGCCGGCTCCTGGGCCCCCCAGGGGAAGAGGCTGGCCCAGTGGGTACACACTGGGTCGCAGGGGCGGCCGGGCCCCTTGGTGGGCCGGGCCCGGTCGCAACCGCGACCCCTGCGACCCTGGTATGTACGCCACTGCTGTACACAATGGGTTAATGTAATTATCACAGGCAGGAAAAATATACTTTTTTTTAATATTCTTTATTTTTGTTGTGCACAAAATTACAAACAATCTGGCATAGCCACAACAGCTCAAACCAGCGTTACAGCAACAAATCTTAAGGTTAACAGCATGGCTTAATTTAACATTGCACATTTTGTATTAAGTGGTGAATCGTGTAGGTCACTCTGGTTCACGTGGCTAGGACAAAAGAGGGTATGCAGGCGCTCGTCCGTCCGTTAATTAAGCTAAATTCAGACCGTAATGTAGGTTTGATGCCTTGTGAATCCAGTTGCTCATAGGGTTGGACGGGCTGTTTTGTTGCTGACCGCATTGGTGATCTAGCTTAAAACCTTAGAGCAGGGGTAGGCAACCTACGGCACTAGTGCCATGCACGGCACTCTAGGTGTCTTTGCACGGCACTCAAGGCTGCTAGAGCGAAACAGGCTCTGGCCTATCAGGAGTCCCAGTGAAACTTCAGATACGAAGATACGAAGAGGGGGTGAAGGACAATCCTCAATTTATGCATTGCAGCACGCAGAGGTAGTGATCTCAGCTCACTTCCTCCCAGCACTTATGAATGGGAATCCACACTGTAGTATAGTAGCCTGCAGCTGCTGTTGCAGCTCCTGTCCTTGACCTATACCTGGCCAGCCTGGTCCCCAATGGAACCCAGGGAAGCCACCCACACTGCTAGATTTACACAGAAATGCAGAATAACCATCCCCTCATACAAATAATAGGAACAGCCCACAAACAAACATGCACATAATCTGTACAAACGTAACCCGCTAACAGTCCACATACATGCACACGACCCCACATGCAGCCTCTCACATGCAATACCCCAAACAGTCCCCACATATACACACACTACCAAACACACAATGTGACATTTCCATCCACACACACAACTCCACAAGCAGCCCCATACATAGCCCACATTCATATGTATCATACACAATATCATAAACTACTCATGAACATATACAATATAATAGCTCATATACACACAAATACAATGATACAAAGAAATTACAGTAAAAATAACACAAGCAGAATACGGCAGCAAACACTTCATTTAAAAAAAAAATCCGGCACGCCACGGGACATCACAATCCTATATCAGCACAGTGCTGCTAAAAGGTTGCCTACCCCTGCCTTAGAGCATAGGGGAGTTCCCCTGGGTTAGGGTGACCAGTTCTGGTGGGCTGTTAGGGTACACTCTCAGTTAATATGGGTAGCGTGTGGGTTGTCAAGAATTATTCTGTAGGATAGTCGCATGTTGGCTCTCCCCCTATGAGACCAAGTATGCGAGTGACAGAGGACATGTGATGGGGCAATTTATAAGCAGACTCCAAGTGCAGTTGTATAGGTTCTGCGCTCTCGATACTCAACTTGTATGTTGGGGCCTTTAGCTGGGGGGCTACTAGCCAGGGGGTTGCATGTCAGCATTTGTACTTAATTGTGGTCTAGTACTGGGTGTCCTGTCATTTGTTGGGGTGTATGGGGGGTTTAAAGCTTTCACTCGTGTATGTGGGACTCTGGTTGGGTGAGGGGTGTCTGCTGAGCAGGTTTGTCGCCTAGGGTTCAGACATGGTTGTCTGTGTGGCCTCTTGTGTTATTTGGGTGCTGCCCGGCTTGGGAGTTGGTCCCCCCGAGGTTGTGGGGTGTGGTGGGCGTGTTGTTGGGGTATGGTGCTACGGGTTAGAGTACAGTGTATGTATGTATGGAGGTGGTCGTCACTTCACGTTCCCCGTGTGCCAAACTTATCTCCTGGTAAGACGTGCCAACCGCAGTCCCCGAACATAGGGATAGCGAGGGTCATATATGACGTACAGATAAAAACCACAGTAGTAAAAATATAGAAAAAAACTTAAAACAAAGAGCAAGAGATACAATGTAAAACATTAATCATGGGGAGTGCAACTAGAGGATTTGGAAAACCTTTTGCAGGGTTAAGTGTATTCCCGTCTCTGCAGGCCTTCTAGGAAAGTTCAGGCAGTGGCCTCAGCAGATGTTGCTGGGGTTGCTCCCTGAGGCATGAACGGGGTCACTGCTGCCGGGTTCCATGTGTGGGTTGTCGATGCATTTGGGCATGATTGTGCCGCGGTCAGAGCGTCCTCAGGCAGACCCAGAGTGGGGAGAAGGGCAATGCCTCTTGAGAGTCCCAGACTGAGTGTATTGTAGTGCCATGTAGTATTTCTAGCGTGCGCTGTATTTTCCACTTATACTTGATGCCTTTAGACTGGAGAAGCATGGTAAAGGGTTGAAGTGATCTCCTCCATGCCATGGTGCTTCCAGATAAGTCTGCATAGAATGTGAGCAGCATGCCTTCAATTGTATATGGTGAGTGGTTCCGAACTGCGGCCATGACAGCTGCCTTGTCCTTGACGCTTTGGAATCTGAGGAGGAGGTCTCTCGGTGCTGAAATTGGTGCTTTTGCCGCTTTTGTAGACATAATATCCCCTCCAGCCCCACCGTTTTTGCTTGCTTAAACAGCTACTCGTGGCAGTAGTGCCTTGAGAAGGCGCCAAACGAGATGAGGCAGCTCTGTCTCCGATGTGTTCTCTGTTATTCCTCTAATTTTGAGGTTTAGCCTTCGCCTCTGGACCTCCACCACTGCAAACCGTAAGTCTGTGTTTGCCTGTTGTTGTTGCAGGTCTTGGACTGCCCGTTGGAGTCGAGCTGTTTGCTGGGTATTTTGGCGCATGTCATTTTCCAGTGCCCCGATGCGGTTTGTGAGGCCTAGGAGGTCTTTCCTGAGGTGGGCCATATCTGCCTGGAGTGTGTGCTGGAGGTCTGCGAGCAGATCCTTCATGATCGCTGTTGTTACAGGGGCTGAGGCTGGGTGAGAGGTGGCGGGCCCGAGGGCTCTCTGCTATGGCAGGTATCCCTCTACTGTTCCCAGGGAGATGTCGTCGGAAATCTGTGCCATTGTCCAAGAAGTCGGCCATTTTAAGATCTATGCTGCTCTGGGCCTGGTGCCACAGGTCCCCAATATTCATGCCCATTTTCTGCTTTTCAGGTTTAAGCTTCTTAGTCTTTCATCCTATGTCGTTGTTGCCAACTGCAGGTATGCAAAGCAGGCTTTGGGGCTTGGCTCCGCCCCTGAAAAATATACTTTTTACACATTTACTATAACTTTAAAACTATACATCCAATCTCCATAAAACACATATTACTCAGCACACGTCAAATACAAACATACTCAAAACATACTCAAACATACTCAAAATTCAGGCAATTCCCTCCAGGGGTTAAAAAGTTAGTCGGAAGTCCTTTGTGATCGACCACAAGCATACTTTCCTGCCCAAAACGGTTCCATAGATTCGGGCTGTGCAGTCGGTCAGTTTTATGCAGAAAAATAACTAAGTCCCATTCAAATGCACGAACGGGGCGCCGTTCATGCAAATAGCCAAGTATAGCTGTGCATTCAAATAGCCAAACGGGACTTCGTTTTCAGTCGAAGCATCAAAGTGGAGGAGAAGGTAAGGGTCAGCGGTGTTCGTGAAAATGTGTAGCCAATTTCAGTTCCATGGATTTGGCTGCACCCACCGCTGACCATGTTCGACTGAATAAAAATGGCCGCCGCCACGTGTTCGGCTGTACGAACGGTGGCCTCCCAGCGATCGGCAATTAACCTACAGCAATCCCTCAGCATGGGAGGTAAATTAGCCACACACATCCACTTCTGTGTGGTCCGCCTGTGTAATACACTGCTCAGAAAAATAAAGGGAACACAAAAATAACACATCTTAGATCTGAATGAATTAAATATCAACCCATGGAGGTCTGGATTTGGAGTCACACTCAAAATTAAAGTGGAAAAACACACTACAGGCTGATCTAACTTTGATGTAATGTCCTTAAAACAAGTCAAAATGAGGCTCAGTAGTGTGGGTGGCCTCCACGTGCCTGTATAACCTCCTTACAATGCCTGTGCATGCTCCTAATGAGATGGCGGATGGTCTCCTGAGGGATCTCCTCTGAGACCTGGACTAAAGCATCTGCCAACTCCTGGACAGTCTGTGGTGCAACGTGACGTTGGTGGATGGAGCGAGACATGATGTCCCAGATGTGCTCAATTGGATTCAGGTCTGGGGAATGGGAGGGCCAGTCCATAGCATCAATGCCTCCAGCCACATGAGGTCTAGCATTGTCTTGCATTAGGAGGAACCCAGGGTCAACCTCACCAGCATATGGTCTCACAAGGGGTCTGAGGATCTCATCTCGGTACCTAGTGGCAGCCAGGCTACCTCTGGCGAGCACATGGAGAGCTGTGCGACTCCCAAATAAATGCCACCCCACACCATTACTGACCCACTGCCAAACCGGTCATGCTGGAGGATGTTGCAGGCAGCAGAACATGCCACGTCTGTAACATGTGCTCAGTGTGAACCTGCTTTCATTTGTGAAGAGCTCAGGGCACCAGTGGCGAATTTGCCAATCTTGGTGTTCTCTGGCAAATGCCAAACATCCTGCACGGTGTTGGGCTTTAAGCACAACCCCCACCTGTGGACGTCGGGCCCTCATACCACCCTCTTGGAGTCTGTTTCTGACCGTTTGAGCAGACACATGCACATTTGTGGCCTGCTGGAGGTCATTTTGCAGGGCTCTGGCAGTGTTCCTCCTTTTCCTCCTTGCACAAAGGCGGAGGTAGCGGTCCTGCTGCTGGGTTGTTGCCTTCCTACGGCCTCCTCCACGTCTCCTGATGTACTGGCCTGTCTCCTGGTAGCGCCTCCATGCTCTGGAAACTACGCTGACAGACACAGCAAACCTTCTTGCCACAGCTCGCATTGATGTGCCATCCTAGATGAGCTGCACTACCTGAGCCACTTGTGTGGGTTGTAGACTCCATCTCATGCACCTGCAGAATCACTCCTTTATTGGGGCTTTCTTGCTTATTGCCTATAATTTCCACCTGTTGTCTATCCCATTTGCACAACAGCATGTGAAATTGATTGTCACTGAGTGTTGCTTCCTAAGTGGACAGTTTGATTTCACAGAAGTGTGATTGACTTGGAGTTACATTGTGTTGTTTAACCCCTTAAGACCGGAGGGCATACAATTACGCCCTATTTTAGGCGGCTCTAAATGCCGCCGGGTGTAATTGTACGCCCTCCGGTCTTCCCTTACTTACCTGGTCTCCGGCGGTCCCACGCCGGCGATCACGGTTGGGGGGACTCCCAGGGAGCCCCCCCGTGGTAGATTATCTTCCTGGCAGCCCCCCCGGCTATGTGAGAGTGAAGTCCTTGCGAGGACCTCACAATCACATGGCCAGGTAGGCTTCCTCCTGCATTGCCAGCAGGGGGGCTACCTGTAATGACAGGTGGTCCCCCTGCTGGCTGAAAATAAAATTAAAATAAATTAATAAGTGTAAAAAAAATATATATATATATATATTTTATATACACATATACATACACACACATACACTGTCTAGGTGTATTTTACTATTAATATATATATAATTATATATATATATATATATATTAATATCAAATTACACGTAGACTGATACTGATTAAATATATATATAATTATTGTTATATATTTATATATGATATAAAAAAATAATATGTAAATACGTTAAAAAATAAAATAAAAAAATAAAAAATAAATAATTAAAAAATATATAGATGTGTTTTATTTCGTTCTAACTGTATTGTGATATTAATATATATATATTTATATCAAAATACACGTAGAACAAAATAATATATATATCTATATACATAAATATATACGTATATATCACTATATATATATACCTATATATAAATAAAAATATATTTTTTTAAAATTATATATATATATATATATATATATACACACACATATATTCACATACATATATATACATATATTAATTCTACATATATATTTATGTAATATTTTTACATAATTGGGTATCTTAATTAATTACAATTAGCAGGACCTGCCTGACAACCCATGCCAAAAGTAAAGGGAATTTAATTTGCTAGCACTATATTTAACCCTATAACTTTCCAAGACACCATAAAACCTGTACATGGGGGGGTACTGTTCTATTCGGGAGACTTCGCTGAACACAAATATTAGTGTTTCAAAACAGTAAAGTGTATTACAACGATGATATCGCCAGTAAAAGTGACGTTTTTTGCCTTTTTCATGCACAAACAGCACTTACACGGACGATATTATTGCTGTGATACTTTTTACTGTTTTGAAACACAAATATTTGTGTTCAGCGAAGTCTCCCGAGTACAACAGTACCCCTCATGTACAGGTTTTATGGTGTTTTCAAAAGTTACAGCGTCAAATATAAGGCTTGCGTTTTATTTTTTTCACATTAAAATTCGCCAGAATGGTTACGGATGGCATACCATTTGCAATAGTAGACAACCCAGGGTATTGCAAATGGGGTATGTCCAGTCTTTTCTAGTAGCCACTTAGTCACAAACACTGGCCAAAATAGGCGTTTTTTGCATTTTTCACACAAACAAATACTAACGCTAACTTTGGCCAGTGTTTGTGACCAAATGTCTACAAAAAAAGACTGGACATACCCCATTTGCAATACCTTGTGTTGTCTGCTATTGCAAATGGTATGCCATTATGGGTGTAAATGTCATTCCTGGGCTACTATAAAGTCCCAAAGGCAACGTAACCAATCTGGCGAATTTCAATTTCAAATGTAACGTGCTATATTTGACCCTGTAACTTCCCAAAACGCCATAAAACCTGTACATAGGGGGTACTGTTTTACACGTGAGACTTTGCTGAATACAAATATGTGTATTTTATTGCAGTAAAAGCAAACAGTATTATGACATTGACAGTTAAAATGTCATGTAGAACTAAATAAATTTTAAAAATTTTTATTTTCTCCCATTTTTTTCACATTAAATTATGTTTCATAGCTAAATATTTGATATTAAATGAAAGCCCTGTTTCCCCTGAATAAAATGATATATAATAAGGTGGGTGCATTTAATATGAAAGAGGCGAATTACGGTTGGACAGACATGTAGCGCAAATGCCAGGTTTTGTTTACATTTTGTTTCGTTCACAACGTGTACATTTGGCTCCGTCCTTAAGGGGTTAAGTGTTTCCTTTATTTTTTTGAGCAGTGATATATATAAATATATATATTTATTGCCACTGCTGTGCCATTGAGGTAATGTGTCCTCTTCCTATTTCATAAAGGCTGGTAAAAATTCAGAAGGATGTTTAAGCAGAGGGCCATATATTTTGGAGAGCATATGTGATACTAGTTTCTAGGAGATACATTTTTTCTCATACTCATTAAAGGGATACTATAGGCTTAAAATTTTTTTGCCAGTTGGCAACTTGGAAATGCTGATCATCTGAGAAGAGATTAGAACCAAGAAAAATGTGTGCAAGCGCTCTAAGGCACCACGGTGCTTTAATTAAGGCTTTGAATCGCACAAAAAAAAAGCAGAAAACTAGGGAAAGAGCTGTAAAATTATAATTATGGGGATAATTATTAGTACATTTTTTAACCAGGAAGCTAGGTAAGAGATTGAAAGAATAGGAAAACAAAACTTAAATCCCAAGCTTCCTTACTGCCTAAACTATGTTCATATATTAAATATGAAAGTATAACAACACATCTTCAATTACTATTAGCTAAAATAGTAGTCTTAACCCAGGGAGTCCCAAACAGCTTGGGCTATATCTGGCTTCTTCCCTAGACTGAACTCCCCAGGGTCGTCAAATTAAAAAACTTATGGCACGTGATCTATAAAGAATAAGAGTCTTGCCAAATAGCTGGAGGACAGGGAAAAAAAGAGTGCTGGAGTTTGGGAGGTTGGTCCTTTTATAATATATAATTTAAATGTAATTATTCCTGTCCCATTTGCTGAGAGGGAGGGGCTTAACCAATGACTGATCCTGACATGGATTAGCCAGGAACTCAAACTTGAAATCACACATAGGAGGCTCCTGCACGGTCTAGAAGGCTATTAACAGATCAGGAGATAAGCAATTTTAAATTAAACAGAATGTACAATAAATTAAGCTGAAACATTATATCTCTCTTTACAGGAAGTGTTTAGGAATGCTGTGCAAGTCACATGCAGGGAGGTGTGGCTATGCCTGCATAAACAAAACGACTTAACTACTAAATGGCAGAGAATTGAGCAATGAGACTGCAGGGGCATAATTTAAACACCAAGACTGTTTCATTAAGCTAAATTTGTTTTGTATAAAGTTGTTTTGGTTATACTATCCCTTTAATGGAATGTTTGATGGTAGCCAAATTATGGTACATTTGCGGCACCTCGGAGTGGAGCTTTTGTCTCTTGCTGCACTGCTAACCCTACATTCTCCCGTCCTCGCTATGTTTTAATATATTCTTGAAGATGTTTAGGCTTTAAACCGGAAAGGAGTTGTTAAATACAAGGTTTTACCTGTTATGTTGGACATAATCTAGGGGTAATATGTATTGTAAGATTCCTTTCCTCTGGGTTATTATATAGTCTTCAGAAATGTTTAATCTTTTTTAGTTGCTTAACACTGCCAAGACTTTTTTCTGTTGCTCAATTGGAAGAGTATTTCAGACGTTCTTTCCCATTGGAAGGCGGAGGTTTTATGGAGTTTATATAAAATTCAAGTTGTGCTGTACTGGAAATTTGAATACCAGGGTTTTAAAACTGTCTTCAACTTGCTCATCTCAATTTTAATTCTTTTTTTTTTTTTTTTACTGTTTGAAATAATGTAAACCCAATTACAGCTCATTATAACTTACCTTAAACATAAAAAATAAAAATGTATACTGCACTCACAAGAAAATCACAAGCGCTGTATTTTACTCAATATGCTAATAATTTTATTTTAATTAACTTTGCCAAATTTTTACAATATGAAAAATGATAAATAAAATAATGATGAAAAATCGAAAGAATTCCTAATAAACTTACATAAGTGGTGAGATAGCCCGAGTCTGCCACAAAAAAAAAATGTGTTTCCAATATGTGGGGTAGTGTAGTGCAAAACATTATTTTTTATTTTTGTTTTGTATTTTAAAAGCCCAGAAAAAAAATGGCTTGCCCTCATTTATAGATTATTAACACATATGTTGTTATCATATAATCTGTTGCAAAAGTGTTACATTTAATGTTTTCAAAATTGGCCTCTGTTATATGGATTCCCAATATTAAAGCTGTCTATAGAGAAAACTGAAAAAATACTTTGGAAAAGGACCATTTAAAAAAAATAAAAATTTAGTCATTAAAAAAAACTCAACTTTTTTTACAAACTAGCATTTGAATAATAATAATAATAAAATAACAATTTATATATATATTTTTTTATTTTTTATTTTTTTTGTTAAACTGCTTTGTTCCTATGAACCCAAATGGTTGTTACAAATTTGAAAAAAAACACATATTTTGATACAGTTATGGTTTATATATGTTCCTGGGACAACCCATGTTTGTTTTTACTTTTTCATCTTCCATTTATACTCCTCCAAATTTCTCCAAGGTTCTGTCTGAATGCCTCCTCTGCCAGCCCATTCTATATTTTCTGCAGTTTAAAGCATGGGAGGGTACCAAGTGTTGGTTCCAGAGGACTTCCTAACCACAAGCTGCATAATTAATTTTTGCTTTATAGTTATTATATTGAGTTAATGACTGTCAATAACTTCTTGTTTTTAAGATTTGGATGCTTTAAAACGTAAAGTAGAAAATATGGAGCAAGAACTTGCATGTTTGCAATCCAACGTAGCCGCACTGAAAAATGGTGAGCATTAGAAGCCTATAAATCTATGAAAATGTATATATCATTTATATCTGCGTACATTTTGAAAGACATCTGTAGTGTATATGATGTATGTTCCAAATGGTTCACACACACAGTTACAGACATACACTCATATCGCTGTAGATTAATATGTGTCAATATATTTTATAATTCCATGGTCAGCATGTACAAATAGCCACTTTTGAGGATATTTATTCAAGTGTTTTGTTCTACAAAGCAGTCGAAAGTACTAAAAAGTGAGGTAATCATCATGAAAACCAGTGAATCCAGTAGGTACATTCCATTTTATATTCCTTTTATATATGTGAACCACTTTGTAAAACAGGACACGTTGATAAATCTCCCCATAGTCTTACAAGCATCACATTTTAACAAGACATGAATTCTCTACAAAATGCACCATCATTGTAAAGAGATCCACTAATCTGCTTCACAGAACTGACAAAACATAGTTACGGGTAGTTAGCTGTGCCACATACATTAGAAGCTAAAGAGACAAATTTGTGATTTAAAATTTAAGGCATTTATTTATACATCTGTTGTAAAAAAAAGTTTTCACTACCAATTAAAGTCACATACAGTTCTGAAATCCCTTTGCCATTTTACACCTTATTACATAATACATATAAAGGTGTTACTCGAAAAATTAGAATATCGTGCAAAAGTTCATTTGTTTCAGTAATGCAACGTATAAGGGGAAACTAATATGCGATAGACGCATTTCATGCAAAGCAAGATAGTTCAAGCCGTGATTTGTCATAAGTGCGATGATTATGGCTTACAGCTCATGAAATCCTAAATCCACAATCTCAATAAATTAGAATATTGTGAAAAGGTAAAATATTCTAGGCTCATAGTGTCCCACTCTAATCAGCTAAGTAAGCCATAACACCTGCAAAGGGTTTCTAAGCCTTTAAATGGTCTCACAGTCTGGTTCAGTAGGAGTCACAATCATGGGGACCTGACAGTTGTGCATAAAACCATCATTGACACCCTCCTCAAAAGGTAATTGCGAAGGAAGTTGGGTGTTCCCAAAGTGCTGTATCAAAGCATATTAATAGAAAGTTATGTGGAAGGGAAAAGTGTGGAAGAAAAAGGTGCATAAGCAGCAGGGATGATCGCAGAGGATTGTCAGGAAAAGGCCATTCAAAAGTGTTGGGGACTTTCACAAGAAGTGGACTGAGGCTGGAATCAGCGCATCAAGAGCCACCACACACAGACAGATCCTGGACATGGGCTTCAGATGTCGTATTCCTCTTTTCAAGCCGCTCCTGAACAACAAACAACGTCAGAAGTGTCTTACCTGGGCTAAAGAAAACCGACCTGGTCTGTTGCTCAGTGGTCCAAAGTCCTCTTTTCTGATGAGAGCAACTTTTGCATCTCATTAGGAAACCAAGGACCCAGAGTCTGGAGGAAGAATGGAGAGGCACACAGATGCTTGAAGTCCAGTGTGACGTTTTCACAGTCTGTGTTGATTTGGAGAGCCATGTCATCTGCTGGTGTTGGTCCACTGTGCTTCATTAAGTCCAGGGTCAAGGCAGCCGTCTACCAAGAGATTTTGGAGCACTTCATGCTTCCTTCCACAGATGAGCTTTATGGGGATGTTGACTTCATTTTCCAGCACCTGCCCACACTGCCAGAAGCACCAAAGCCTGGTTCAATGACCGTGGGATTACTGTGCTTGATTTGCCAGCCTGGTCTTCCATAACACCTCAGCAGTGCCACAGGCTGATAGCTTCCATAGATGCCATGCCGCATTGAGGCAGTAATTGCTGCAAAAGGGGCCCAAACCAAGTACTGAGTCCATATGCATGCTTATACTTTTCAAAGGTCCAATATTGTTATATGTACACTCCTTGTTTTATTGATTGCATGTAATATTCTAATTTACTGAGATTGTGGATTTGGGGTTTTCATGAGCTGTAAACCATAATCATCGCACTTATGACAAATCACGGCTTGAACTATCTTGCTTTGCATGCAATGCGTCTATCTCATATATTAGTTTCCCCTTTTACGTTGCATTACTGAAATAAATTAACTTTTGCACGATATTCTAATTTTTCGAGTATCACCTTTAGAAAAGATAATGTGATATAGATTTTAGATAAGAATTTGTATTTATTTTTTTTATATTTTTTCAGCTTTGGTCTTCAATAAAGGGACAAGCAGTGGTAACAAAATGTATCTTACAAATGGCCAGACAGCTACTTACAATGAGGCATACACAACTTGTGCCAAGGCAGGAGGACAGTTGCCTTTACCACAAACTGCCAAAGAAAATAAAGCTATATTGACCCTTGCTTTGCAGCAAAAGAATGCTCCATTCCTTGGTATTAATGACATTGGGGATGAAGGAACATTTAGATATCCAAATGGAGAAAAAATAAGCTACTCAAACTGGTCAGCTAGTGAACCCAATAATGAGTTTGGGGTTGAGGATTGTGTGGAATTGTTCAATGATGGGAAGTGGAATGATAAGAATTGTGAAGAAAAACGACTTATCATTTGTGAATTTTCGTAAAATGTGTTTTTTTTAAATTCTGTGATGGGTAATTGCAGGTATAAAAAATTGTAAATTGTATTCCTTTAAACTGTAGCATGTTTCTTCAATACATTATCTCTTACCCAGATTTAATGCATTAGATGTTTAGACTTTAATAAGACATTTTGTCCTAAATTAATGTGACATCAAGTCAAGTCCTTGTTTACATCATGTTAAACTTTACGTTTTAGACCAAATAAAGATTAAGATGTATGGGTCAAGACAATAGATGTACGCTTCTAATTTTCACAAGAACTTCTTTTAAACTTAAGATGTATAATTAACCCATACATTACCTGTAATAACTAGAAATTGTATTTTATATATGTGTCTGCTGGACTGACTTTGAAGGAGGTATTACTGAGAGATTACCTATACAATCAGGAAGGGTATGTTATACTAACACTTTTAATTGCAAACATATATTCATTTAATCCTATACACTCTGCCTCATACTATATTAATGGGTTATTCATTTTTTATATGTTTATATTCTTATATTCAATAAAATATTGAAAAAAAGACAAAACAGTTATTGCTTCTAAATCCCTATTTTTATTGTATTCTCAATTATTCATAATATATAAATGGAGAAACCTGACTGTCTATATAACATTGTTGCTAAGATACTTAGTAAGGTTAGCCCTGCTAAATTCTAAGCAATTAAGATGTTATAAGGGTAATAGGGAAGCAATCTAAAAAATAAATAAATTACCCAGTATCCTGTAATTTAACCCTGTATTTTGTGTTATATAGGATTAGCATGCAATAATTGCTGATTTAAAACAAGACACGGAATGTTAGTGTACAGATAGTGCTCATGTTGTTATAATGACTGACTTTCATCAGAATCCCTTTCTGTGCTAATAAAACCGATGACACTGGGTCAGTACTGTTGATCAATTTAGCTTGGCTATTTTAAGTCAAGTAGTGATCATAATAGGCTGATCCACTGCACCGTGCAAGCTATAAAATCTGAGGATTTGCAGAAATGTTAAATATGAGCTATTACATTTTACTACTTTATCATTGTTGAACACGGCTTCCATCAGAAATTTTGGGGCCCTAACACACCTCCAAGGATGCAGTGTGTGTAGAGTGGATACAGGGTGAGTGTGTTGTGGATGCAGTGCGTGTGTTTGTGTATTGAATGCAGTGTGTGTAAAGTGGACATGGTGTGTGTCAGTGCACGTGTGGTGGATACAGTGTGAGTGTGTGTGTGTGTGTGTGTGTGTGTGTATATATATATATATATATATATATATATATATATATACCCACACAACGGGTGTTTGAATGTAAGCATGTTTTTGTATGGAGTATGTGTGAGAATGTTGGTGTTTGAATGCAGGACTGCATTTGTGTGTAATGTATAACCTTAGAAACACACTGATATGCATGCGGTCACACAGAAACACATGTTAAACACACAATGACACATGGCTACACAAACATATAAATACACACACACATACTCACTTATATGCACACACAGACACATGGATACACAAACACAGATACACACAGTGACACACAAATACACACACACACAGACACAAAAGGACACACTGATATACACATGGATATACATGTTACATACATAGGCACACAGAATGACACATAATTACACACACAGACACACAAACACACACATATCAACAATGATATACACACAGATACTCAGATACACATTGACACAGAATACAAGAATAGGCATAAAAACTGATAGACACACACATACACAAAAGGACACACAGATTTACACACACACACAAAAAAAAAAAATACTGAAACATTGGCTCAAAAAGGCAAAGCAACTTTTCAACCTGCTAAGAGGTCTGGATCTGAGAATTATTATTATTATTTTTTTTTTTATATATAGTGCCAACAGATTCTGTAACGCTTTATAATATTATAAGAGTGGGGATTTAACTATAAATAGGACAATTACAAGAAAACAGGGGCACTATGGGGTAGATGTGGGGCACTCTAGGGGTAGCTGGGGGGAGCAGGGGCATTATAGGGGTAGATGGGGCAGGGGCACAATGGGGTGGATGGGGACACTATAGGGATAGATGGGAACAGGGTCACTATAGGGGTGGATGGTTTCATTTACAAGGCAGCAGATTCGGGCCTTGGTTAGCCCCGCCCCGCCAGTCGCTTAGCTCTGCCTCCTACAGTTTCTCTCTGCTAAGCCCAGGTAGAGGATAGGGAGGATAGGGAGTGTGCAAGCTGTGTCGGCCACATGGCGCCCCCTGCTGCCATGGCGCCCTGTGCAACCACACAGCTCGCACACCCCAAAGGCCGGCCCTGGTTCTACATGTCTTTTTAAGCATGTGGACAAGCAATCTGAAGCTGTTCTTACCACATACATGGAAAAAGGTGCATGATCTAAGGAAATTGCAACAATGATGAGTTCAAGCGAGCAGCAAGCTCACTCCACAGCTCGATGAGTTCAGTTTGGAGGGCAGCATAGGGAGAATTTTTTTTTTTTTAAGATTCTGAGTTTCAAATTTGTGGAAGCAGGGTTGTCAATCCCTCCTCCCATTGCTTTGCTTTCTAATTTCAGTACCGTTCTTGTGGAAAATGCACTTGTGAGCCTCCCAAATTGAGAAAGGAGATGCCTCGCAGTGGAGTTTTCCTGGACATAGTGACATTCCTGGGCTTTTTCCAGGTCATATTGTTAGGACAGGAAACAGTCATTAAATCTCCAGTTTGAGACCTTTGGTGCATGCACTGGGGATGTGACTGTCAGTGTAACTGGTGCACGGTCTGGCCATGTGGTCGACCCAATATTGGCTGAAAGCAAATGAGTGAGGTGATAATCTGTCATGAAAAGTAACCTTTTCTAGAGTAGGAATTATGTGGGTGGGAGAAGAACTTATAGTTGTGTTCATCAGCATGGATTGCCCTCCAGCAGTCAACAAGTCTGTGCAACCACATTAAAGCTCAATGCAACAATGCCCAGGAACAGTAGGCTCCCTGTGAAATTGCATAGCTGGTGTAACTTCTTAGAGAGGATTCAGAGTTGGGCTCTGTTAGGGAAAAATATTGGCAAACAAATACATTCGATTGAAAATGTTGCCCTTAAAAAACAAAACAAAATGGCCCTCCTGATCTGCCCGAACAGCCACCTACAGGCACTTTTATGGAATAATATTACAGTGAATCTAAATTTGCCAAGAGGATTATCACTAAATTATCCTGTTGGGTACATATAGTTGGCAAATTTCGGTCAAGTGTCCATTCAAAAGTGTGTTTCCTGCACAAATATCACAGTGTGTTCTGCTCTGAGGTCCATCAGTGCAAAAAATCTCTTCTCAATTGACGCAACATGTAATATATTACAATAAAGCACTCTTCACTTTCCCTCTAATTCCTTCCTGCTTCTCACTGGGCAGAAAGCCTAATTTCGTTGCTGATGGTTCTGTCAGCCCACAGGACTGAAAATAATAGTGCCAATGGTAGGAGGAGGAGAGAGGAATATAGAGAATAAAACAAAGTAGATACACTCAATGCTTGACTCTAGCCAGACAACTGTGTTTACTGCATGTGAGTATAGGGCACAAATCATATATGCTTTAATTCTTGATCAATCACCATTGCACTCAGAAAAATAAAAGCAAAAAAAGGATTTTCTTTCTTCAATTAACAAAAACAAACAAGCAAACACCCTCTTAACAATTGTAAATTGGTGATTACAACCAATGATGAACATACTATCTATTGTGCCTTTTAGTCCTTTTTATAATACAGTCATTTTGTTTCAACTGGACATAAATAATCACGTTCGAAATGTATCATTCTGTATAAAATGTCAACAAGTAAGAACGAGCTTACAGGTATTCCAGCACATAAAATAACATTACGACACTAGTGATAACGTTAAAGTAGTTTATTACAGATCGTTCAAGTTTCTCAACATGTAATATGTATGAAAAATACACTGTATGATTGTTTTAACAGTAGTAGAAAATATATTGTATGATAACTGTTAACAAGAAACCTGTATATTAAGACATTATGCAGGCAATAATGCCAGTTTTCTATATATTGCCAGTATGTATTATTGTTGGAGGTAATTAGATTTCAGTAAGCAGACATATGTCTTTAAGAACTTTTAAATTTGGCCAGCAAAGTATATAACCGCTAGGCTACGGCAGCGCCACCTGTCTTGATAAAGCCCGCAGAAGAAGGGCGAAACGTGTTGAGGGTGTTCGCTTTCAAGCTCTGCAACTTGCTACCCCTGGAGGAGCTCCAGCGCTCAGCAGAACTCACCTCCAGCGTTCCTCCGCTAAAGATCGTGGACAGCCTGCTTTAGTGCACGAGGCAGGCGCTGTCTCCCTTGGAGAACCGGGTATCCCCTCTGTAATCCGAGGAGAAGCTGTTGTATACTGAGCTACCATTGTGGTCCTTGGATAAGGACCATATTTTTATCTTGTAAGAGTTCCTTATTTGGGGGGATTTTTTGTACCGGGGAATTGAACATATAGTGTTATCCTATACAGTGTCACTATATATTTAGTTTTCTTGCTTTAACCCCTTAAGGACACATGACATGTCATGATTCCCTTTTATTCCAGAAGTTTGGTCCTTAAGGGGTTAAGGTATACCCAGCACACTACGTGGTTCAACTTTGGTATATACAAGACCTAGACCACCTTCCCTACAAGTGACTCTAATTGACGTATTTTTGGTTATCACTACTTAAGTTTTATCAATAAGACTATTTGTGATTTAACTGGTTTGGTTTTATATTTCTTAACCGTATATCCCTATATAACTTTAAAGGGGGTTATTTACTAAGCGCTGCCATTATTTATTCACACTGTATCTAAAGAATTAGGGATTTTTTTTTTGTCTGTTCCAGCTGCTGGTAACCATTGTGTACCTTAGGTACAATTTTCTGCACTTTGTCACTTTGTATATGGATACATAGACTAAGTGAGCTGTTTAATTTAATAGCCTACTTGTAAAGACACAGCTATACTTGATTATTTTATGCACTCTCTTTTTTACGTTTATTGCATACTTTATTTTGAGCCCATTTTTTTGTGCATTAAACAATTAGAGGTCAATTCCTGCCTAATAATCTCTTTAATAGGAATCCATCACTATTACAGTTTGTAAACGTTTCCCAAGACCTTTATTATCTAAGGGTCAATACCTAGCTGATATTATTGAAACTTCTAACGAGGAACTTTAAAAAAAAAAAGTCAAATTATATTATGCGTGTCAGCATGAATTTAAGAGGTCACAAACTATTTCACAGACATTTTTAAGAAAACAAGAAGTGAGATAACACTAACAACAGTTTATAATCTGCATTGTAGCAGTGTGTATTAAGCAAATCTTTAAAAATGTGATTATTGTCCAGTTTGCTATTTTGGAAGAGTATCTCTCTTACCCCAATAACACATTCTAAATTCTATAACCATATACAGTATATAGTAATATCTCATACTTTAAATAGTTCATTAAATGTATACTACACACATTATTTATGATTCTGTATAATATAGTTAATTTAT